AAAAAAAAAAGAATTTTACTAAAGAATGTACATGCAATAAAGTCCATCCATTTTAAGAGTTGTAGCATGATAGATAATGTAAACCCTTGTGTTATCAACACCATAATAAAAAGAGGGTATTTCCATCACCCACTGAAATATTCTTACTTTTGAAGATGTGAAAGGTAGCTAGGATGATGAAAAGGGGACTCTGGGGGCCCTAGAAGCCAAGAGAAGAGTTTTTTTGAAGGCTAAAAAAGTGACCAATTGTGTCAAAGTTGCTGGAAACATCACACAAATAAAATGACTGAGATTTCACAGAAGAATTTAACACTGTGGAAACAATTGTGATCTTGACAGAAGTAGCTGCAGAGAAATGATGAGGGTACAAGCTTAATACAAGATTCTCCTCCTTCCACAGGGAGGGGGAGAAGGTACCTGAAGATAGCAATAGGGTCAAGTCTTGTAAGAAATTGTGCTGTAAAGGAAGGAAAAAATGGGGGTAGGTGTAGTGCCTGGAAGGATTAATGCTTGGATGCTAAAGGGAGAGATCCAGTAGGAAGGGAAAACAGTGATGTATAAAAAAGAGGGGGAAAGGTGTTGATCTGCAACTTTAAGTAACAAGAAAAGGAAAGATGCAGCAAACACGATGTGGACTGGCCTTAGATAGGAGCAGGGATTATTGTCCCAAATACAGAGGGAAGGCAGCGCTTGGGGGGCACAATGCAGATACGTGGGAGCTGGGAGGTTCTCTTTTAATTGCTTGTTTTCTCAGTGAATTGGGAAGCAATGCTATCAGCTAAGAGTGAGAGTGAAAAGGATGCCAGAGGTGTGAGGCGGGGAGACATGAAAATTGCCATTCAGGAGATTGGTAGGTCTGGATTTGAAGTCAGATCAGTCAACAACACTGTATTTTCTGCCATCAACATTCATCAGTTGTAGGTGCAGATCTGGAAGTATTTGGGAAGAGTTAAGTTTAAAAGGGGGCTTTGTAAAGGCATAGAGTAAGCAGAATGAAGAGAAGCAAAAAAAAAAAAATTGGGGGGTACAGTAAAGGTAGTAATTGTAATAACCTATGACTGACACTGAAATTTAAGCTGGATAAGAATAATTTGAGGAGAAAGTGAAGAACACAAGAAAGGCGGTACCGTCAAGAGTTTGTAGGTTCTGGTGGGTCCAAGGACTGCTGAACTTGAGATATTAAAGAGAGTGAACTAGAAAGATAGGCTGAAGGAGTGACAAAGAATGGGGTGCTTGAAATGGAGACTGTGGGGAATGAGAGGGTGAGCTGGGTGTAGGATAGGATCATTAGAGAAGAGGAAGTCAAGAGATCCAGGAGACTAGACTTTTGGATGGGTTGTCTACGTGGATATAGAAATCACCAAGAATTAAAACAGGACTAACAGTAGTCACTCTCTCCGGAGAGTGACACTGTGCTAGCAATTAAAAGATGAAAAGGATGAGAGGGAGGGACCAAAGGGCCAGGGAACACTATAATCATGAACAGAGATATGTGGCACAGTCTTGTGATATGAGATTCAAAGATGAGTGTTTTCAGAGAGAAGGGAGATAAGTAGAAGTAACAATAAGGCACAAAAAAGACATTACTCCCCCTCTATGCTCAGTGGTAGGAAGAGGGAAAAACAAGTCACTACATAAGAAGCCTTGAGGCAGCAGTGTTTTAAACAAAGGACAGGCATGCCTTAAGAAGGCTGGAAAAGAATCAGAAAAGCTGAGGATATAAAGGAGTTTTGCTGGTGATTGACCCTACATCCCAGAGGCCACAGATATGTATCTTTTTGGCTTAGCATGCCTCACACTAAATGTGTACCTTCTATTTCACTGTATATTCAACCAACGGAACAGCAATCTGTTTTAAAACTGGGGGGAATTCCATGAACATGAGACACTGTAGTTCACCCTAGGTGCTAACTTTTAAATTTTAACCTCTAACTCTTCCTCACCTCTCTCCTCATGCACATGTCCAGGTACACACACACTCGCTCTCTCATACCCACACCCATGTATGCATGTGTACAATAACCATATAGTCTTGAAGTATTTTTTTCTCAGTCGGTACCTTGTAAGGATCCTCAGGATCTACCCAGGCCACGTGAAACATATGACGAATTTCCTCTGCCAGCCCAATTCTTGCTCCGCTGTTGGCTGCTACAAAGATGCGTGGGATACCCTCTGCCCTGGCAAGCTCAGAAGCTCTGAGAAATAGCAAATCCTCCTGAGGACCAAAGGACCCGATTCGGTATGTGATGTCATTGCCAATAACGATGATATCTCGGCCTTCTGGGTATTCAGGACTTTTCAGAGTCATCTTCCAAGCTACCATGCCAATCTGCAAAGGTATAAACCAACAAATATACGCTTCTTAGACCGAGAATTTATTTTCAGCTTCCTTGAAGGTATCAGACTGCACCTAGACACAGCCTGTGAAGATACATACTGCAAAAGAGTCAAGCTCCCTGTAGGAAGTGAGAACAAACCTTCTAGCACACTTCTCTAGATTATGACAGTAATCACTGTTTTACTATGTATTTCACAGCGGTCTCAATTCCTTCTTTGGGCCTTATCAAAGAAGATGGGGAAAAAAAAAAAAGAGTCTGAGGGCACTCAGGATATGTGTGCCAGAATGCACAGAATGGCCCTGGAAATTAAATTCAGAACTCTCACTTTACTATCCTAACATATGACGAATACTATACATGATACAGTATTTCTGTCATTTGTAAGATCTTTAATCTATATCTTTGGAGATTCTTTCCAAGAAATCTTCAACACATGAGAGAAGAGCAGAAAGGGGAGCACCTCCCTCGTAGGCCCTGCAACTTTTGTAATCCTGGGCTCTTTTACTATCTCCAGCATTTGCTAGGAATGATAGCGGTTATTCTTTGCTGGCTGATTCAGGTATTTTCTATTTCTGCTCAATACTGCATCCTTATGAGCAACTCTTGCTTTTTTCTCCCAGCACCAGAAAACCAAGGGGTGCAAGGAACTAATCTCTTGCTGTACTATGATATATGTAAACCTCTGTTCTCTGTTCAGCAGCAGCTGACCAGCCACACAACTAAGAGATATTGACTTAAAAGGTAGGGGTGACATGTCTCTACCCCAACTCTGACAGTTCTCTCCTCATTTAATCCCCTTCTATATGAGAATTAGTCAATTCTTCTACTTGTTTATTCACTAGTTCCATTTCTTTTCTATTCACTCACACTCCAGTTACAGCTGCAGTTTTTCATGCCTGCCTGTCTGCTTCCCTATACCTGGATAAGTAATGTTTTCCTTTTTTTGTTGTTTCTTTCTGTCTTACCCCCCCCTTTAAAGCCCCCACTACACACCCCCAAACACAAAGCCTACCAGATGAGCATTCTTGGTCCTGCCTAATGGAGCCCAGCCACATCTGCAGCCTTGGTCCCTCATCCCCAGGCTGCTGCATATCACCTCATTGGGGAGCCGGCCATCAAGAAGGGCCATTAACAGATGTAAATAGCAGCATCCCTGGAAAGCCACATGCATCACCCAGACTCAACCGGGCCAGTGATCATAAGCTCTGAGTACACATTCCTCAATCCAATTGCACATCTACTGTAATCAGGCTGGTTGAAGCATTCCACACAGCTATTTGTGATTCTCAGCATTAAGAAGTATATATATGAAACACCCACAGATAAATATAAGCTATTTAATATATCATACCATTGGCCAAATACAAATCAAAATGGATATAATACAGGAAATACAGGCGGAAAAATCCAATCACCTTCTGAGATAAGGTATTACTTTCTCTGCTCATTAAAGACAGAATAAGGAAGGAGAAACAAATCGTCCAAAAAATAGCACTGAGAAACTCCAAATATCAGGATAATTTTGGACAGGTTTTTAAGAAGCTGGTTAACTACTATCTCATGTGGTCCTTTAAACCACTCCCCCTCACCCCCGTCTCTTTTGTTTTTCAGGTAGGAAAGGCTATTTCCTCTAAATGCATTTGTAGTTAGGAAGATTGGGTTTCATACTAAATTTTATGATATATTAACCTTAGCCACCTAGGCCAGAAGCAGTTTTGATATAAGCTATGAAGAACCTACTTTAGTATTTGCATGCTAATACAAACACTGTGTATATATGGCACTGAGCAGGCAAATAATACTCTTATCTTTTGTTATTACCTGGGGACTCAGTGTCACTTGGGCAGTCAGTTCAACAATTGGCCAGGTCATTATGCTTACAATATTGACTTCTAATTAGGTGTCAAGACAGCAGCACCAAGAATACACTACTCTTTATTAATATCTTTCCAAAGTGTGTTCCTCATTGACCTTCCCCCTGCTCCTTTAAAATGGAGACAGCTTCCCAGCCCTCAGACAGCAAGATTCCTTACTGGAGAGATTATATTTTTGAGTGAGCATAATGGATAAACTAAGAGAGCATCTGTTGCTTAATTTAAATTTCTTTACTAAAGAAATGAAGACTGTTCCAGACTGGTGCCAGTGCACTTAGCTGAAACAATATGGAAAGATGAATGAACATAAGTTAGTAATACAAACATAAACATTATTGACACCTAAATGCAATGTGTATCTTGGATGGGAACCTGAAACAGAAAAAGTACGCTAGTAGGTAAACAAATTCAAAACAAAGCCTGTACTTTACTTGAAAGTATCACACCAATGTTAAACTCTTAGTTTTGATAATTATACCCTAAGAAGCTGGGTGAAGTTATCTTTCTATCATTTCTAAAAATCTAAAAATTTTGAAAATAAAGTTTAAAAAACAAATGTCATGATATAAAAGATTTTTTTTGGAAGAAAGGAATGATGCCCTGGGAGTGTTCCATAGGCTCTCATGAAATGAAGACTACAGTGTTGTAAAGTACCTATGATGCACTAAATTTGAAGCAGGGCAATAAAAATGCATGTATTTGTAAGAGGCAACAGTGTGGTAGTAAAGGACACAAATTCAGAAGCCAGTTTCTCACATTCTGAATTTACTAGAACCTGACCTTGACAGAATTAGAGGTTTTGTTAATTTTCCAGTCATGCTAACCTCTAAGTGCCTCAGTTTCCTCAACAGTAAAACGAAGTAAGCATAACCAGTGTAGTAAGGTTGTTGTGAATATTAAATACATGTTAAATCTTAGAACAGCACCTGGCACACAGTATGTGACTGTAAATATAAAAAAGTAAACAGACATTTTCTCTATGTAAAAGCATGCTGGAAAAAGGAAAACAGAGAAAGCAAAATAAGATAATGGCTATTTCAAGATGATGGGATTATGCTTCCCCCCAATTTCCAAATTTTCTTTAATGTGTTTATACTGCATCAATATCTTTTTAATCAATCAAAAAAATGAGAAAAGATTATAAAATATCTTTTCACTGGATGACACGTACATGAGAACTTGCTATTTCTAGTGGGCATAAAAGAGAATTCCAAAATAAAAAATTTCAAAGGGAAAGAAAAAGAATCTAACCAGCCTAACGAATTTCTCACATTTTAGAACAACCGACTCTGGGTTTTAATCATACTATAAAAAATCATATGTATATAAAATTAGGAAGAAATATAAACATAAGGAAATTAAAAACCAAGATTCACCCCAAAGGGAAAAGGCTATCAAGAACTGTCATAGTCAGTTTGTTGGGGCTATTATTTCCTTTTTGAAAAAAGAAATGCCTGCAATGATGTGGTAGAATGTAAACATATGTATGTATAGATTTATACAATATTAATATCTCTACCTGAGAAGTAACTGCTTCAGTGTTTTTCTGGTCTGATGGTTAAATACATATTTATACTTTTAAAGTCAATATTTGTACAACAGACAAGAACACTGCCTATCGGTTAAATACATATTTAGGACTGTACCACATGTATTACAAACATGTACTAAAATCAAAAGCTTATATTTATACAGAGCCTTTCATCTTGAAGGGGGCTAAAGAGCTTTACAAACATATGTACATAAAAGGGTGTTTATACTGATAGCAGGCAAAGTATCAATTCTCCCACTCCCCTATTTCTTCCAGCAGTCCTGGGTAGAAACACATGGTGTCAACAGATGCAGATCTGTAACAGCTGCAGAGACATGTAACACAATAATCCACGTTGTGATGCAGTCACCGAGCAAGCAAGGGCTGCAACTTGAGAACAGCAGCTGCTCACCTCAGTGTGGAAGCACCACGGCCATTTCCAGCTTCGTGTTTTTAAATTCTTCTCTACCAAACCCAACTAATCACTTGACAAAATTGAATTTGATACTGGAAATGATTTCTGAATGCAAAATACTTTCTGTCTGATGATGAGAACTAGGTTGAAAAGTGTTTCTCCCTGCCCTTGTTAAATTTGGACAGAAAAAAGAAGAGGGTCACAACATCAGGAGAAATGGTTCCAAATAGTCTAAGAATAGCTTTGTCTCGGAGGATTGGGTCATTACTTCAAAAGACAGCTATCTATCCCCCAACCCCCATTTAATTAGGACACCGAAAGTTTTTCAGTCAGATTTCTTTAAATAGATGGGTCGATCTGTATTATACACACAATGGAGATTTTATATCGAAATTTTGCCTCACTATAAAAAGCATCTACTAGTGTAACAACAATCAAGAATGTGACATTCCCTGATTAGTCTAAATCCAAGTTGCCTTTTTTGTTAACTGAAAAATAATGACCAAGGGAAATCCCATTGTTGGGTGCCCTTGTTTCAGCTTCTCTCACCTTCCAGTGATTTTATGCAGGTGAAACCTGGTGACAGTGACACTCCAGGCCTAAGGTGAAGGAGAGCAGGAGGGAGCAACAAAAGGGCAACACTTAGCCTGAGAGGGTCTGGTGAGAGTGTGTGGGCCGCAGGCCTAATGAGCTTCGAACTCAGGTTCCCTCCCGAGCAGCACTGCCAGCCTCTCCCCTGATCCTGCCTCACTAAGTCACTCAATGACCAAGTAGTTCTAGGTACTTACTACCAATTATGTTTTCATTAATATAGTTATAAATCATTTAAATATATTTAATTTCAGGGCTTATTTTTTATTATTATAACAACATTCTAGTTAGCAGGAATCTTAGATATAGGGTTATAACCTAAAATAATTACCTTAAAATGAAAACCAGAAGATCAAAGGAGTTACTCTGAATAAGCTAAGGATAAACAGAATAAATATTTGGTTTTGTTACACAAGTTTTAAGGAAGAAAATATTTCTTTGGGCACAGTCTTATTTGGAATAAAAAGGTGCATGTGAGGAAGGAGGGAACAGGGAGGAGAAAACAAGCAGAAGAGAACAGTCTTATTTAACTGTTTTTATGTGGGTAAAATGATTTGTGCCACAGTATTTCCATAAGAA